ATCGAACCTGACCCCTCAGTCCGCAGACCGACACTTTATCCACTGAGCCAAACTGGCTTTGGTGCAGCTCCTTTTTTTTTTTTTTTTTTTTTTTTTTTAGTACAAGATTTAGCGTTTAGAGACCTGGATGAGTCAAGGTCCTATTTGTTCCTCATTCCAAGCACATGGATTAAGAAATCAGTACTGATTAAAGGATTCTGCCTGTGCCCTCTGGCTCAACTGATAAGAATTAAAAGAATGTCCATATGCCTTTTCAGGTGGCTCCCTACATCTCACCCTTTTTTACTAATTAAAGTAAAATTTAGCCGAAATCGGTTTGGCTCAGTGGTAGAGCGTCAGTCTGTGGACTGAAGGATCCTGGGTTCGATTCCAGTCAAGGGCATGTACCTTGGTTGCGGGCACATCCCCGGTAGGGGGTGTGCAAGAGGCAGCTGGTCGATGTTTCTCTCTCATTGACGTTTCTAGCTCTCTCTCTCTCTCTCCATTCCTCTCTGTAAAAAAAATCAATAAAAATATATTAAAAAAATAAAATAAAAATAAAATTTAAACATCAATAATAGGGCTCTAAAATTAAAAACAATTGCAAACAATGCCAATGCAAAAACTAAACCACATACATGTTATTTTCAAAACTTGAATGTCAAGAGCAAGACTCTGGCTATTAAATAATAACAACAATGCGCCGAAACGGTTTGGCTCAGTGGATAGAGCATCGGCCTGCAGAATGAAAGGGATTCCAGTCAAGGGCATGTATCCTAGTTGCGGGCACATCCCCAGTAGGGGGTGTGCAAGAGGCGGCTGATCGATGTTTCTCTCTCATCGATGTTTCTAATTCTATCCCTTTCTCTTTCTCTCTGTAAAAAATCAATAAAAAATATATTAAAAAAATAATAACAACAATGCCAATACAAAACAACAAAATGAGAAATCAGAATTATGGACATATTAATATTTTTAGCTGCTAAATGAGTCTCTTTTGTTGCTGGTATAGATTTACTCAAAGTCCGTGGACTTGCTGCACAGGACTTTGCAGAAGACTGGAAGCTAACAGATGCTAGCATGAGCAGGAACATGATTAAAGAAGTAGCTTCCACTTCAGTCTTTAATTTCTTCAGATGACTCCATGTTGGCACCTCAGTTCCTTGCGTAACCTTCTGTTTACTTCTCACACTTTGCTTTTGTCTGGGCAACTCTCAGTCCTTTTGGGTGAAGGGACACAGGAGCTTCTCTGAATCCATTGTGATGACGGACATAACACTCTGGTACCCGAATTGGCTGCATTGCTCCTTTTTTCCTTTCATTTTGAACCCAGGGTTCGACCCCACAACATTCAGGGCCTGGCTGCTCCGGGCCTGGCTGCTCTGGGGCTGGCTGCTCCGGGCCCAGCTGCTGCTGCTGCTCTGGCCCTGGCTGCTTAGGGCCAGTCTTACTTTTCACAATTCCATAATTATTGTCCACTTAAGTTAAGCTTACTATTGTGTGACCTTAAGCAAATTTTTTTTTTTTTAATATATATATTTTATTGACTTTGTACAGAGAGGAAGGGAGAAAGATAGAGAGTTAGAAACATCGATGAGAGAGAGTCATCAATCAGCTGCCTCTTGCACACCCCCTACCGGGGATGTGCCCGCAACCAAGGTACATGCCCTTGACCAGAATCGAATCCGGGTCCCTTCAGTCCCCAAGCCGACGCTCTATCCATTGAGCCAAACTGGTCCCGGCAACCTTAAGCAAATTTTAAAATCTTTGAGCCTCAATTGAATCTATAAAGAAGAAATAATAGCTCCTGTATCACAGGTTTTTTAATGAGAATTAAGTGAAATAACATTTGTATTTTTAAAAGAATAGCCTCCATTTAGGGAGATCTTAATAAGTATCCAAAGTATGCTATACTTCTAAAATTTGTTGTCTCTTTGTTAAAGGTGATCTGAAGAGAAACCAGAGTATTTTTGTTGTCTCTTTGCAACCTTACCATACCTTTATGGGGGAGGATGAACTTGTGGTAGTGGTAGTAGCACAGGTAGCGGTGATAATAGACGGCGTAAAGTACCTCTGTTCCAGGTTCTTTACATATTTCTATTTAGTCCTATTAAACATTCTTATGAGATTGGTACTATAATTGCTATTTTATAGATGAGGAAATTTAAGCACAGAGAGAGGCTCAATAACTTGCCTAAGTTTATAATGTACATAGTGAATGTATAGTGGAGCTGCACTTTTTGGTACCAGTTTATCCCCATTTATTTATTTATTTGTTTGTTTATTGTCTATTTGTTTTAGATGAGGAAACTTAGAGGGGTCGATTAACTCACTAAAACTTATATACCTTATAAGTAGCTGGGCCATAATATGAATCCAGATTTGTCTGATTTAAAAACTTTATAATTATTATGCTAGACTTTCTTTAGATTATTAAAAACAAATACTTTCTGTTGTATCACAGAATGGATCAATATAATGCAAGTCACATCCCTGTGCTCATTCATAAATGAAAGATGACATTTTTCCTTGACTGTTACACAGGGGAGCCAGGCTTTTGACCTCTGCTTTACACATGAACTGTACCTGTTGACCTGAAATAGAAAATGAACATCTTTGTTGTAGTTTTATTGATATCTGTCAAGATTTCTAACATTGCTGGAATTCCCAGTGGTAATGCTAGTGTCAAGGATCCCATTGCTGGCGATTCAGCAGGAGGATTTGGGCTGCCCAAGATGTCAGTAGCTGATGGAAGGCAGATGGTACTGGGAAGAGGCCATGGCTGTGGGATGAGAAGCACATAGACTAGGGATAAGTAGAGTATTTTAATCACCTACCTGGTGATGGATGTGTGGTATACAATGGCTGTAAAAAGGAAAGTATGCTCTAAAACATTATCAGTTAAACCACTGGGACTTGGGGCATTTCTCCTAAAAGTTGTAGTCCCTAAATTCCTGAACTGGACTACTGAATTTTTAAATTTTATTTTATTATTTTTTTCATTTTTAAATAAATCTTTATTGTTCATATTATTACAAATGTTCCTCATTTCCGGCCCCCTTCATTGCTCTCCTCCACCAGGTTCCCCCACCACCCTCTGCCCTTTCCCCAACCCCCATTGTCCTCATCCATAGGTGCACAGTTTATATTCAGTCTCTTCCCACACCCCCCAAGAATTGTCAGTTCACTCCCCTTCCATACCTCTGATTCTATTATTTTCACCAGTTAATATTGTTCATCAGATTTTTTTTTTAATTCCCTTGGTTTTTAGATTCACTTGTTGATAGTTACGTATTTGTTGTTCATAGTTTTTTTAAAAAAATATATATTTTATTGATTTTTCACAGAGAGGAAGAGAGAGGGAAAGAGAGTCAGAAACATTGATGAGAGAGAATCATCGATCAGCTGCCCCCTGCACACCCCATACTGGGGATGTGCCCACAACCAAGGTACATGCCCTTGCCTGGAATCGAAACCGGGACTCTTGAGTCCGCAGGCCAACGCTCTATCCACTGAGCCAAACCGGTCCCGGCTGTTGTTCATAATTTTTATCTTTATTTACTTTCTCTTACGAAAGAACCCCCTTCAGCAATTCATATAATTCTGGTTTTGATGGTGATGAACTCCTTTAGTTTTTTTATTTTTATTAATGAAGCTCTTTATCTGGCCTTCGATTCTGAATGATAGCTTTGCTGGGTAGATTATCTTTGGCTGTAGCTTCTTACTATTCAACACCTTGAATATTTCTTAACATTCCCGTCTGGCCTGCATGGTTTCTGTTGAGAAATCAGCTGACAATCGTATAGGTGCTCCTTTATAGGTAACTACCTGCTTTGCTCTTGCTGCTTTTAATATTCTCTCTTTGTCTTTTGCTCTTGGAATTTTAATTATGATTTGTCTTGGTGTGGTCCTCTTTGGATTCCTTTGTTTGGAGTTCTGTGCGCTTCCTGGACTTGCAAGTCTAATTTTTTCACCAGGTGGGGGAAGTTTCTGTCACTATTTCTTTTAGTATGTTTTCGATATCTTGCTCTCTCTTCTTCTGGGACCCCCATAATTCTGATGTTGGTTCGTTTGAAGTTGTCCCAGAGATTTCTTACATTATCTTCAACTTTCTGGATTCTCTTGTCTTCTTGCTTCTGTGGAGGAGTGTCTTCTTGCTTCTGTGGAGGAGAATCAACATAATTGATTCTTGCAATCTTCCATTGACTTGATTCTTGCGATCTTCTATTCTGTTTTTAGGACTCTGTATAATATTTTTTATTTCAGACAATGTATTCTTTATTTCTTGTTGATCCCTTATGATTTCTTATTGATCCCTAATTAGTTCTTGTTGATCCCTTTTCATCTCCTCATAGGTCTTATTGACCTTTTCTAGGAAATTCTTGAAAAACCTTATAAGCGTGGTTTTGAACTCTATATCCAGTCTCTTCTTTTCCTCCATTTCTTTTGTTTGTGATCTATTTCCTTGTCTCAGCATTTTCACAGCTTCCCTGAGTTGGTAGGGTGGCTTTGTGTGTTAAGGTGTCCTATATGGTTCAGTGAGTCAGCCTCCCAGTTATTTGAGGTGGACAGTCTTGGTGTAGCCTTTTGTGGGCTGTGTGTGCAGTCTTGTTGTTCTGGACTACTGAATTTTTAAAAAATTAATACAATTTTAAAATTCTTACCCTAGGATATTTTTTCCATTGATTTTTTTTTTTTTTTTTTGAGTGAAAGGGAGGAGGGAATGGGGGAAGAGGAGAGAGAGAAAGGGAAAGAGAGAGAAAAGAACATCATTGTGAGAGAGCTACATCTACTGGTTGCCTCCCACACCCAACTAAGGCTGGGGATCAAACCTGCAACCAAGATATATGCCCTTGACCGGGAATTGAACCTGTGACCCTTTGGTCCTTGGGCCAGTGCTCTAACCATTGAGTCATACCTGCCAGGGCTGGACTACTGAATATTGACAGAGGAATTATTACATAGATATTCATACAAAATGATTTGAACCCAGACTATGATAATTTACTTTTCTTTTGCAGGAAGGATGCCAATTCTGCGCTGCTCAGTAACTATGAGGTAAATAGCTTTGAAGTATTTTCCTCTTTGATGGTTTTGTTCTTTGCTTTTGAAGATTATTGAATTAACTGTAGTTAAAAATGACTGAATTAATTTGGATTTTCCACATTAAAAAATGACAGATGGCACTACCTTGTAACATCCTAAGCTTGGTAAATTACATTAATTCAGAAAACTGGGAAGACTTTAGTGTACCTTAGGCAATCTTCCCCAAATCTAAAAATTTTAAATCTTTATAGGGAAGGCTTCATGAAGAATAGAAGCATCTATTTTGGAACTCTTTCAGCAAGTTTCTATTAAAATATATATACTTTTTTTTTTAATTACCACTCTTATAAAATACTTCTATGTCATTATTTTGATCCTCATACTAGTCTCATAAATATTAAAATCTTCATTTTGAAAGTGAGAGCTTAGTTGACTCACAATTATCATCAATACTTTAAATATATATATATATATTTATTGATTTTATACAGAGAGGAAGGGAGAGAAATAAGAGTTAGAAACATCGATGAGAGACAGTCATCGATCAGCCACCTCTTGCACACCCCCTACTGGGGATATGCCCGCAACCAAGGTACATGCCCTTGACCGGAATCGAACCCCGGACCTTTTAGTCCCCAAGCCGACGCTCTATCTATTGAGCCAAACCGGTCCCGGCTATCATCAATACTTTAATAAGAACTAACAGATTGGGGATTTGGGGGCTGAAGAGTTGGATTGGGGAAAGGGAGGAAAGAAGGAAAGATGTTGGTGAGGGGGAGACATAACATTATTTTGCCTACCTTCCATTTTGCCTGGCTTGTTTGGTACTAGTAAAATCATCTGATAGGTTAATTCCCGGTATAGAAAGAGCCATTCATACGTACATTCATTGTCTATTTTTTATATGTCAGAGTCTAAACTCAAAGACTTGTAGGAGACTTGGGTTTCCACTGTGTGATATATTAGTTAATCGAAGGTAGTTGAGTTAACACGGTTGGCCATATTCCTCTCTCCAAAGATTCATCTTAAATGATTTCTGCTCATAACAAGAAGAAATAGTAGTTGTTGGTTAAGCCATTGGCTTTTAGGAATTTCCTTTTCCAGTTTGAACTCTGCTATGTGTTTGGGTGTTTTATCCATTGGAGAAATATTGATTGCCTTAATTGGGTCTCATGCCACTATTTCTGAAAATCACAGGCAGGCAAGGAGTTGCATTGTATCTAGTAATGGCCTATGAATCTGTGAACCTATACTACTTCCCTGAATTTTCTGTAAAATCTCTAAAACAGGAGAGATATATACTCTCCACACCCTTCTTAACACTAATACACATGTTTTCCTCTTGTGAGGATACTTTATTTATTAAGTCCTATAGCACCCCCCCTCCCTTTTTTTTGTTGTTAATCCTCATCTGAGGATATTTTTCCCACTGATTTTTACTGAGAGTGGAATGGGAGGGAAGGAGGGAGGAAGGAAGAGAGGAAGAGAGCGAGCGAGAAACTGGGAGGTAGAGGAGAGAGTTAGAGAGAGGGAGAGAGAAAAAGGAAGGGAGAGAGGAAAACAGAGGGAGAGGGGGAGGGAGGGAAGAAGAAAGAAAGGGAGGGGGATGAGAGAGAGACACATCAATTTGGTTGCCTCCCATATGGGGCCAGAGATCAAATCTATAACCCAGGCACATGCCCTTGACCATAAATTGAAACTAAGGCCTTTCACTGTGCAGGCTCACACTCTATCCACTAAGCAACACCAGCCAGGGGCCTCCTCCCCTCTTTCTTGTAAACAATATTTTGGCACGTGCCCAAAATAAAGTATACTAGATTTTCATATTAGAGAGGTAGAATTCATTTATTTTTAATTTTTTAAAAAATTGATTTTATAGAGGAAGGGAGAGGAAGCGAGAGATAGAAACATCAGTGATGAGAAAGAATCACTGATTGGCTGCCTCTTGCATGTCCCACACTGTGGATGAAGCCCACAACCCCGGCATGTGCCCTGAACTGGGAATTAAACCTTGACCTCCTGGTTCATAGGTTGATGCTCAACCACTGAGCCATGCCAGATGGGTTAGAATCTGTTCTTTTAAAAATTATTTATTTTAGCAAAATTTACTTTTAAATACTCAAAATATTTTTGAGATCAGAATATGGTAGGGAACATTGAAATATTTTAAGTAAACTAATGAATTTGAATTATTTGACTTAGATAAAAATATGTTTTAAAGGTCATATTTCTTGGATTCATATTTGCTCTAATATCTGCAAGAGTTGGGGCGTACTATTTTGTTTATCTTCAAAATCAATGGCCTTGGAAGAGATTTATTTTTTAAACTTCTCTAATTTAAAATTCTTTTGTATATTTCTCCCTAGGTGTTCCAGTTACTAACTGATCTGAAAGAACAACGAAAAGAGAGTGGAAAGAATAAACACAGTGCTGGACAACAGAACTTGAATACTATCACCTATGAAGTAAGCCTAGGCTTTTGGAGGGTCTACCGGAACTATCTTTTTTTTTTTTTTTTTTCTTTTTTTTTCCCTTTAAAAAAAAAAAAATATATATATATATATATATATATTTTTTTTTTTTAATATATTTTATTGATTTTTTACAGAGAGGAAGGGAGAGAGATAGAGAGCTAGAAACATCGATGAGAGAGAAACATCGACCAGTTGCCTCTTGCACACCCCCTACAGGGGATGTGCCTGCAACCAAGGTACATGCCCTTGACCGGAATCGAACCTGGGACCTTTCAGTCCACAGACCGACACTCTACCACTGAGCCAAACCGGTTTCGGCTCCTTTAATATATTTTATTGATTTTTTTACAGAGAGGAAGGGAGAGGGATAGAGAGTTAGAAACATCAATGAGAGAGAAACATTGATCAGCTGCCTCCTGCACAACCCTACTGGTGATTTTCCCACAACCAAGGTACATGCCCTTGACTGGAATCGAACCTGGAACCCTTCAGTCCACAGGCTGACGCTCTGTCCACTGAGTCAAACCAATCAGAGTTCTTCTTTCTTTTTAAGATCAGAAAAGTTTTCTTCTGAAATTTCATTATTCTTTCTGTTCCAGTTACTGGTTTACTTTTTGAGGAATTCCTATTATATGAAGATGGACTCTCCTGAAGGCATTTGTTTTACAGAAGATTTTTGTAACACAATTGTAGAATACTGAATTATTTCTCATTTGGATTTGATTTTTCCTCTTTTTTTTTGTAGACATTAAAATATATATCAAAAACACCATGCAGTCACCAGAGTCCTGAGATTGTCAGGGAATTTCTCACAGCAATGAAAAGCCACAAGTTGACCAAGTAAGTAAAAATTATCATAAGGAGGAAGAATGACTCACAATGAAAATAACTTACAAAAGCCCCCTCAGAGACTATTTATATTTAATTGGGTCTTGAATTCTAATTAACTGTGTTCTTTTTTATTTTATTTTTTTTATATATTTTATTGATTTTTTTACAGAGAGGAAGGGAGAGAGATAGAGAGTTAGAAACAAACCTACCAGGAATGTGCCCACAACCAAGATACATGCTCTTGACTGGAATCGAACCTGGGACCCTTCAGTCCGTAGGCCAACGCTCTATCCGCTGAGCCAAACCAGTCAGGGCAGTATGTTCTTTTTTTTTTTTTTTAAACTGATTGAAGAGAAAGAGAAACATTGATTTATTATACCACTTATTTATGCGTTCATTGGTTAATTCTTTTGTGTGAGTGTGTGTGTGTGTGTGTGTGTGTGTGTTAATCCTCACCTGAGAATATTTTTCCATTGCTTTCTAAAGAGGGTGGAAGAGAGAGAGGGAGGCAGAGAGAAACATCAATGTGAGAGAGAGATATTAATTGGCTGCCTCTTGCACATGCCCTGACTGGGGCCAGGTTTCAAGCAACTGGGGCTCATGGGTTGATTCTTACATGTGTTCTTACCAGAGATCAAAACTGCAACGTTGGCCCTTCAGGATGACATCCTAACCAACTGAGTTACCCAGTCAGGGCCTCAATATGCTCTTTTAAAATAATTTTATGATATTGGAGATGAGACAGCTGAGAATTCACAATAAGGATCCTTTTAGAGCCAGCAATAGAACATAGTGGGGTTTTTTTAATCTCAAAAAAAATTTTTTTTTAGTCCCAGTTCTATGATCTGTTCCATTACCCCTGTCAGTATTCAGACCAAATTGATTGAAAAATGGGGTTCACAGATTAAACTGCTTTTTATAAAGTTTATCAATTAAGGCATTTGACATTTGTTTTTTTGGCTTGGGGCAAAAATGGCTTAATAATATTCTGTCTGCTCTTCTAGTGCCCAGTTATTTTTCTTGGTGGCTTTCTTAAATAAGATAGGCTTGTAGGACTTAAAAACAATAATTAAACCCTAGCTGGTTTGGCGCAGTGGATAGAGCATTGGCATGTGGATTAAAGGGTCCCAGGGTTCCAGGGTCCCAGGTTCCATTCTGGTCAAGGGCACATGCCTGGGTTGCAGGCTCAATTCCTAGTAGGGGGCATGCAGGAGGCAGCCAATCAATGATTCTCTCTCATTGATGTTTCTATCTCTCTCTCTCCCTCCCTCTCTGAAATCAATAAAAACATATTTAAAAAATAATAATAATTAGATCAAGTCCGACTGTTGTTCTCCTTTCTTCTCATGTTGAGCATCAACCTATGAACTAGGAGGTCACGGCTCAATTACCAATTGGGACACATGCCCGGGTTGTGGGCTTGATTCCGAGTTGGGGGTGTGCAAGAGGCAGCCAATTGATGATGTTTCTATCTTTCTCTCCCTCTCCTTTCCTCTCTGAAATCAATAAAAATACATTTTTAAAAAATTTTAAAGGAATTAGATCAAGATTTTACATGAAGCCGAAACCGGTTTGGCTCAATGGATAGAGCATCAGCTTGGGGACTGAAGGGTCCCGGGTTGGATTCCGGTCAAGGGCATGTACCTTGGTTTCGGGCACATCCCCAGTAGGGGGTGTGCAAGAGGCAGCTGATCGATGATTCTCTCTCATCCATGTTTCTAACTCTCTATCCCTCTCTCTTCCTCTCTGTGAAAAATCAATAAAGTATATTTAAAAAAAAAAAAAGATTTTACATGAGAAGAAAACTACTCTTAGTCTTTTAGAATTAATACCAGAGCTGATACATTCCTAAACTGTTTGTTATTTCATTTAGGACAAAAAAAAATTTTCTTTTGGAGGGACCATTTGGCTCACAGTTGTAAACTAAGTGCACTTTTTTACTTCGAAGAAAATATATTTCAAATGTGTGTATATACATGTGTGTGTATGAATGTAAGTGTGTGTATATAGTTTGTCTTGTTTTCAGCTGTATAATACATAGAATATTAAATTTATCACCTCAGCCCTGGTCAGGTAGTTCATACATTGAAATAGTACTTAGTGGTGTTTTAATATAATTTTATATATTCCTATATGATTTAAGAGTACAAAAATAGTCTTTTATGTTTCCCCAGAATTTTACCATTTCTTTTGCTCTTTATTTATTCCTGAAGTTTCATGCTTACTTTTTACTATGTACTTCATTCAGCCTGAAGAACTTCCTTTAGCACTTCTTTTAGAACATGGCTACAAATTTTCTTTCAACAATGAATGTTTTCTTTAATTGCAGAAAGGTAATTTCAGTGTGTTGAGAGTCTTTCAGTGCTTTAATGATGCTAATAAAGTGGCTTCTGATTGTCATGGTTTCTGATGAGTAATCTGTAATCATGCAAATATGTAATGTGTTATTTTCCTCGTACAGGTTTTAATATTTTTTTTTGTCTATTTCTTACCAAATTTGTGAAGTCTGGGTCCATTATTTCTTGAAATATTTGTTCTGCTTTAATCTCTTTCTCCTTTCTTCTCAAGCTCCAAAAGTACAACTGAGAGAACTTTGATAATTGTTCTTACAGGTCCCCAATGCTCTGTTCTCTCTCTTTTTCTTTCCTTTTCTTTCCTTTCCTTTTGTTTTTTTTTAATATACATTTTATTGATTTTTTTACAGAGTGGAAGGGAGAGGGATAGAGAGTTAGAAACATTATTGATGAGAGAAAAACATTGATCAGCTGCCTCCTGTATACCCCATACTAGGGATGTGCCTGCAACTAAGGTACAGGCCCTTGACCGGAATTGAACCTGGGACCCTTCAGTTGCAGGCTGATGCTGTATCCATTGAGCCAAACCAGTCAGGGCTCTTTTTCTTTAAATATATATTTTTATTGATTTCAGAGAGGAGATGGGAGGGAGTGAGATAGAAACATCAATGATGAGAAACAATGATTGGCTGTCTCCTGCACAACCTATACTGGGGATTGAGCCTGCAACCTGGGCATATGCCCCGACCGGGAATTAAAACGGTGACCTCCTGATTCCTGGGTCGACGTTTAACTGATGAGCCACACTTGACTGGGCTCTCTCTTTCTTTTTTATAGAAAAGGAAACTTTTTATTAACATTTTCCAAACAATCTATATGCTTATCACTCTCATTCTTAGTTGGAGCATGTGTGACCACATTGACACAAAAAGCTTTGGATAATAGGAACACAAGGCGGGGATCAGGACTTAGGGAAGGGAGCAGGGAGGAAGAAAATGATGTATCACCTTCTAGATTTACTTAGTCACAAAGATAAAGATCTCAGACTACAGAAGTTGCATGTAGTTTGAGCTGGACTGCATCTTCTCATATGACAGTATTTTCTTCCAATCTGCGGTTCTTCTGTAGACTATCAATAGAGATTATAGAGCAGTCCTGTCCAATAGAACTTCCTGTGATAATGGCAGTATTTCTCTGCTCTATCCTACACTGTAGCTTCTAGCCACGTGTAACTGTTGATAATTTTATTTTTTTTTAAATATGTTTTTGTGGGGGTTTTTTTGAGAGAAAAAGGGAGAAAAATGAAGAGATAGAAACATCAGTGAGAAAAACATCATTGATTGGCTGCCTTCTGCATGTCCCCTTCTGGGGATTAAGCCTGCAATCCAGGCATGTGCCCTGACCTGGAATCCAACCAGTATCTCTTGGTTTCTGGGTGGATGCTCAACCACTGAGCCACACCGGCTCAATCATTTTAAATATGGCTACAGAGGAATTTTATTTTTAGTTTTATTTAATTTTAATTAAATTTAAGTATTTTAATAAAAGTTTTATTTCAGAGAGGAAGGGAGAGGGAGAGACAGAAACATCGATGATGGAGAATCATTGATCAGCTGCATTTTGCATGGCCCCCACCGCGGCTTGAGCCTGAAACCCAGGCATGTGCCCTGACCGGGAATTAAACTGTGACCTCCTTGCTCATCGGTTGCCACTCAACCACTGTGCCACACCGGCTGGGCAAATTTAAGTATTAATAGTCATATATAATCAGTTGCTGACATGTTGAACAGGGCCATTTATAATACCTCCTTGATTGACTTCATCTCACAGCCATATGCAGAATTCAAGTGCCCTTTATAAATCGTTTGCTGAATGATTCTAAAATTTTATGGCAGCCCTCGCCCCAAAACCAGACAATTCAATTCCTTCCTGTATGTTCATGTTGCCTTTTATGCTGGTGCCCCAGCACTGGAGCTCAAAGCAAGTCAGTCTCTGTGGGCCCTTTAAGAGGAACCCCTAGGACTCCAACAGCTCTCTTTCTTACTCAGCCATAATCCCTGCTGGTTTTCAAAGCCAGAAGTTATGGGGACTTCTCTTTCTGGCTCTGGAGGGCATGGTTTGGAGCTGGGATTCCTCATTCTTCAAAGGGGACCTCACAGCTCAGATGCCCTTCCCCATTTTTTTCCTTCGATTTATTATTTAATTTTTTTATTGATTAAGCTATCACATATTTGTCCTCAAACCCCCATTCCAATCCCCCATCCCTTCCCACTCATGCCACAACCCCCCTATTGTCCTTGACCACTGGTTAGGCTCATATGTATGCACACAAGTCCTTTGGTTGATCTCTCCCTTTTATCCCCACCCTCCCTTTGAGGTCCAACAGTCTGACCCATGGCTCCTAATCTCGGTCTGTTCTTGTTCATAAGTCTATGTTGTTCACCATTTCCCCTAGATGAGTGAGATCATGTCCTACTGGAAATATAAGAATCAAAAATGAGACAAGCAATAATGGTTATGCTGAGAGGCATATGAATCAGTCTGTAATGAGTTTCTGGGCCAACAGTTCTTTTGAGACCCAATTTTAATGTCAAACAGTTCCTTCTGTGTATATGTCAGCAATGATATGTCAGTTCTGGATGGTGGACAAATGGTGGTAATGCAGATCTGACCCTCTGTGGTTTGGTCCTGGGCAACCTGCAGTGACACAGCTGC